TATATTGTAGATTTTATTAGTATATTCTTATTTTTTATATATAAGGGATGTATTTTTTATGTATGTAATGTATTTTTATGTATGTAATTTAATTTTATCTATGTAATGTATTTTTATGTATGTAATGTATTTTTATCTATGTAATTTTATGTATGTGTATTTTATTCAAACGTAATCTTTTAAAACAATTTGTGCGATTGATTTTGTAAACAAAAATACTTTCAATAATAACTCCGTTTTCAATTAAATTATTAATAATCGTCAAAGTTAATACTAATAATTTTAACCACTAATCCATTTTCCTCAGTGTACCCCATAACTGATTCTTTCCTCTAAGAAAGAAAAGTTTTTTACAAACTTGTTATACTTAAAGTTACTTTTTTTCAGTTTTAAATACTAATAAAAACTATAAAGCCCACTCACTAAACATCATCAGCATTATTGTGAAGCAGTTCCGCTTCCTCCTCACAAAGTAATTTAATGTTTTTAGTTAATTTCTATCTAGCTAAATGAATTTCTAGAGTAACTCAATGATTTAATTATTTCATTTCTTCATCTTACTGAGAAGAATTGTTTCAAATGTGTTAAACTTTTCAAACTACACGAAGAATAAAACAGTTATTGAAAAAACTTTTTCATTTATAAATAAATCATATAGCGTTAGTTTTATTGGTTGAATCTTGTTGGACTTTTCAGGACCGGGGGCTGCATTATTTTGGCGGCCTTTTTTATGTGCCAGCGTAAGAATGACTAAAAAAATTACCGAATAGTCTTCTTGACTATTTCCCCATTCCTCTTGACTATTTTATTAAAATGATTGCTCTAATAAAATTATTTTGCTTAAAGTTTTTTCGCGTTAAAAGCTATTTTTCTTTTTTTAACTGTCTCTCATCGGTCTCAGTTAATCTTATTGTGTTTTTTTGTTTGTTTTTGAAATGTTCTCAAAACGACTAAAAAGTCTGGCTGGTTTTTCGCAACTAAATATTATTTCCGTGGTCAATTATCGAGTGCGATCGCACCCGCTTCCAGACCAAGCCTGTCACAACCTCCGTCACAACCTTTCTGCACAAAGTCTGGAGTAACACTGAAGCTACTGATGCGTTTGCTAGAATGTCTTCCCGGCAGCAAAGAGTTGCCAGACACCACTAGACTACAGTAAAACACTTATTTATCTGAAAAAACAAGAGAATCTTTAATCTAAGAGTATCAGTTAAAAGTTAGGCATATTGTGAAAATTATTCTAATTTTGCTCTGTCCAAAGCAATTTGCACAATAGTGTGTATATATATATATATATATATACATATATATATATATATATATATATATATATATATATATATATATATACATATATATATATATATATACACATATATATATATATATATATATATATATATATATATATATATATATATATATATATATATATATATATATATATATATATATATATATATAATATATATATATACATATATATATATATATATATATATATATATATATATATATATATATATATATATATATATATGCCCATATATAAATATATATATATATATATACATATATATATATATATATATATATATATATATATATATATATATATATATATATATATATATATATATATATATATATATATTATATATATATATATATATATATATATATATATATATATATATATATATATATATATATATATATATATATATATATATATATGCCCATATATAAATATATATATATATACATATATATATATATGTATATATATATATATATATATATATATCAAATATTTGCCTATTTAAATATTTGCCTTTATCAAATATTTGCCTATTTAAACAGTAAATTAAACTTTTAGCTATTTTGTAAGAAAGCTGTTAGTCTAAAGAATAAAATAAGCTAAAAAATTTTGAGTCCGGTTGAATAAGGGTGAACTTATTACTAAAAATGCCACTTAACTTATGTTACACGGAAAACTAGGTAAAAAAATTGCTTCAACTTTTAGGTCAGATTTCTGCGAATCAGTAAAGCGGTTTATATTAGAAACTTTCACAAGATGTTAAGAATTTTATGCCAATTTAAAAAATATAAAAAATTTTATCGTAGGTGACCGGGTAAGGAATATAAACTGGTTTTTTTGATATTATGTATCTTACTTACGTTACATCACTTACGTTACTTTGCGATTATTATCGTGGATTTTTACTTCAATTATTTTGAGTTAGAGTTACGTAACTAAACAATTACAAAGATATTGAACTCATTCATAAAAAATAATTAATAAAGGAAATTTTTAAAAACTGGTGGCACTCTTCCTGAGTGATTTTTCATGACATTTATAAAAGTTATTGAATCGAAAACAGTTTTTCCGCAAGACCAAGAGCAACTTTGAAAAATTATTTTAGTATTACAACTTTTTAATACTAACTTGAGTTGTTTAAATATAAAAATCTTTGGTTTGTCGAAGTTTTTACTTACAGTCTTTACGTTTATGTGTATTGCCTTGTTTTCATTAGGTTGAATTTTTAAAATGCTGCAAAATATTTACATTTAAATTTTTTGAAATATTTTTGAAGAAAAACTGCTACTACAGTTTAGAAGGGAGAGGGATTCAGGTATATGTGATCGTTTATGACAGGAAGGAAGGGGTTAAAAATTGATAAATATAAGGTGACATGCTTCATGGATGACTCATAATAGCATTTGCAAACGATTTGTTTTACTAAAACAAAAACAAAAAAAATTCTGAAAAATATTTTTATATTAGGAATATAGCAAATTAATCTGTTTTTTAAATGTCTAAATACAAATATTTACATAATTCTTATTTTTATTTATTTATGTGTATTTATGTCAAATAAATAGTAAAAAAAGTAAGAATACATAAACAAATAAAAAAGCAATAATATAAATAATTTTAATTAACATTAAAAAAAAAAAAGATTTTTTTCTAAATTCTCCTAATATAAAAAGTTTCAGTTAAAACCTTGTCAACGAAATAGTAATTACTAAATGATATAATTCATTTTGTTAACAAAAAAGTGCCAGAACTTAAGAAAATGTTTGTAGTTTTAACTTACATTACACAAATTTAAAATAAAATTGTGCTCTAACTAAGCATCAATGTTCAAAACTTTAAATGCAAAAATATTATATTTAATATTCTTTCGCATATATTATTAAAAAACTTTTTTAACTAAATTTTATAGCAAATAAAACTTTATCATGTTTTTGTTAACTTTCGTTAGATGAAAATTGCAAAAGTTCATTCGTTATTTTCTTAGAATATGTATATTTTATTAAGTATAAAATCTGACCAACAACAATTTGAACATGCTAGCTCCATTTTCAAGCTAATTTAATTCCGATTATGAATATAAATTCATGGTTAGAATAACATTTCACAATGATACCTTTTTTATCATGTGACAATGACTTTTTTAGCATAAAAATGACTTAAATAATTTAATTTTAGTGCTATAGGTATATTCTATATAGACTTTCATGTGTCTACATCAATATTTATTCGCTAAAAGTTGACAAAAAATAGAATAAAATTTGACTACTTTTTCATTTTGCGCCATGGAATTGACTATATATATATATATATATATATATATATATATATATATATATATATATATATATATATATATATATATATATATATATATATATATATATATATATATATATATATATATATATATATATATACACCAGCTTGTGATATTTTTGATAAAGATTACCTTTGGTACCTTTTGAGAAGATTGGATTTCCTGTCTTACATATAAAGCTAGATCTTTTTCAGAAGTATGTTAAAGCATTGGAGAAAGAAAACAATTGTTTTAAATTTGTTTGCAATTTATTAAGAAATCAAAAACCCTGAAATTAGATTTCTTATGAAACATGATGGTTTTCCTGGCATAATGACAGATTTACATCATGAAAGATGGTTTAACTTTTGTGTTGTTGCTAGACACACCCTTGGAAATGTAACATAAGACTGGAAACAAAAAGTAGACTTATTTTTAATGTCAGCAAGCTATGTGTTGTCCAACTGTAAGCAATAAAATTCACCTACTATTTAAGCATAAGGGCAAATGTGAACCATATCTAGAAATTTTTTATAACAAACATGGTGAAAGACTGCACAAAGAAATGGAAGACATGGAAAAGGCCATGACTTAAATTTCTTACATATGGTCTTTAAAAAGGGACACCAACTTATACAAATGCTATAAATTTGTGTTTTGAATTATTGTTTTATATTCTGTAATTTGGATAATTTATGTTAAATAACTTGTTTTCTTATGCATTTGTCATATTTTTAACAATGGATATTTTTAAAATGACACAACAAATTTTGCTGCACTTGTTTCACATGTAATTCACCAGAATGTGAATTATGGAAAAAAAATCGCATGAACTGTGTATATATATATTATTTTTATATGCATTATTATTACAAATTATATTTTTATTTTTGTTATTGTTATTAATTTATTATTATTGTTATTATTTATAAATATTATAATTACTAATTAATAATTAAAAATAATATAAAATAATTTTAAAAATAACTAAAACTGGTTTGTCTTTAAAAAATAATTAAACCCATTGATGTGAAAAATATCATGTCAATTTGAAATTACTATTAAATTATTATTTTACATACCTATTTATTTAAATTTATTAAACATTTTTTATTTTAATTAAATATATTGTTAGTTAGGTAAAAAATATTGTTTAACAATTGCCACCAAGAACAACTCTTTTATAGTTTAAATTGATTAAAAACTAAGGATCATTCAATTGTTAAAAAACAAAACTTTAAAAGCAATTAACATTTGCAATAACTTTGCAACAACACCTTAACTAAATTTTACCAAATAAACCAAAAAGGTTTTGAAGAATATATAGGGATGTTAAGAATAAGGAAAATAATTATAAACAAACTAAAAAAAAGCAACCTTTACCTGCATATATAAAATTTTGAAAAACAGCAGAACCTAGATGCTTTCTCTTGGTTGACATTTGGTGGACAAATGTCCATGTATTTGTAGAGGGGTTAAAACGCTCTACAGATGCAAGAGGAGATGTTCCATCAGAGCCACCAATAGCGTATAACAAACCATCAAGAACTGCAACAGCTACTCCTATTGTAACAATCAAACCATAGTAAAAAAACATAACATACAAAAAGTGTTTTAATAGAAAAATTAAAATATTAACTATTTTATATTTTATATTACAATTATTCAAATTATAACAACTAAATTAAATTAAACACTTTGAATTAAACTAACTCTTGAAAAAGTTCAAAGAAGAGCAACTCCAACATGCCTTTATTATATAAGAAGAATATATTTAAGAAGTATATATACCAGAATTTAAAAAAAATCTATTTGTACTAAGTCTCTTAGAAATTAAAAATGAGATTATCTCAAATTTTAACTTACATATTGCATCAACATAACATATATTTTCCCCTAATTTTCAAAAAAATATATATAATCAATTACGAGTTCATAAAAGAGTATGATAGTAAATTAAATGGAAACAATAGTAATAATTAAATTTTTTTGTCTAAACAGTTGAAAAACAATTGTAAAAGAATAGAACTCTTTGGTTCAGGGTTTATTTAAAAAAAGATTTCAATATAATTGTCACTATATCTTTATAGCTTAGAGATATCACAGTTAAATTTTTAAAATTTAATTTAATTTACAAAGCACAAGAATAATGAATCAACTAAAAAAGCGCAATAAAAAATGTTATATTTTATTCCATTATTTTAATAAGTCAATATATTAATACTCAAATAGATCTTGCAATATTGCTACATTTATTGTGAAATTTTTTATGCAAAACGCCAAGATGCTTGAATAAAGAAACGTGATGGTAGCAAAGGTTTTTTTCCTGCCATTTTTTGCTTGCAAATTATTGGTTTGACTATATCTGAAATAAACTCAACAAAATTCCGATTATACAACTGATAAAACTGGAGAATAAAAGAATAAAGTCTGAATAAAAATTGAGAAACAAAACCAAAACAAAAACATAACAAAAACTAACTAAGAAGACTGCAAACTAATAATTGTGAGCGAAAGATAAAAACTGCAGTGTAACTTCAAAAAACTATTATCTCAACTTTACAAGTATCCACCTATTTGAAGTTTAATCACCAAAGTCTTTTATTTGTAGAAATTTTTATATACGATGACATTTTCATTCACAAAGAAGAGGAGAAATGAACGAACTTTTATAATATAATTAAGATCATTCATTTTTATAAAACAACTATTTGATGTATAACAGTTTTTTATATATTTTTTATATATTGTTGTTTTATTAGAACAATTGATTATATTTTAACATTTGAATATTGTTTTTTATTTATTATGTAATTAATTACTAAATTATTAAATAAAAATTACACATAAATAATTATTTAAAAAAAAAACGTAAGGTTTTATAAATAATTATTTAAAAAAAAAATGTTTGGTTTTTATTTTTTTTGCAAGTTGTTTTTCTGTCTTTCATTGCAAAAAAAAATTTATTACAATTAAAATTTTTACTATACCTGGCATGAAGAATCAACAAAATAAAATCAGAATAAAAAAAAATTTCATCAAAACATAATAATTTTAATTTTTCAAAAAAACCCATGCAAGACTATCTAGGTGGGCGGCCCATATAGCCCATGAAGACGGGTTTAGACAGGCTATTTATAGCTTGTGCATTCATTTACTCATGCCAAAGCCTGTATATATATTAAATTATCATTGACAAAAATTACATAATAATTAATTAAAAAAATAAAAAATTTTAAATACTTTATTAATAATTTTGAACTTTTGTTATAGAAATAGCACAGTCTAATTTTTTAAAACATATATAGTAAAGCAATTTAAAGTTTACCGAGTCGACGACAATTCATTGGTGCTATTCGAGACCAAGTATTTGCTTTTGAATCATATCTTTCTACTATATTTAAACAAGATACTCCATCCTGACCACCCACTGCATACAAGTAACTAAGAAAAAATTAAACTTCAACAATAAATATAGAGGCATAATATATAAAAACCCTTTAAAAATAAGGTAACTTTACCATCATTTGACACTGAATATAGTTAGCGTTACACAACAAACCCCTTGATTTTTTACTTATTTCTAAAAATAATCTTATTACCCATCTAAAACTGCTACACCGACACTTGTTCTACATGTGCTTGTAGGTGAAACAGCTGAACTCCACTGATTTACTTTAGGATCATATCTTTCAACAGAATTCAAGTAGCTAGACCCATCATGTCCACCAACAGCATATAAAAAATCATCTAGCACTGCAACACCAACACCACATCTGCGTTTGTTCATGCTACACATCATGTGCCACTCACAAGTCTGTGAATCATATCTAAAATGGCACAAGCAGTATTTTAATATTTATCTATATTAAATATTCCAACAATAAGTTAATAAATAATTTGTAGTATTTCTGTAGTATAGTATGTTTGTTACAACTAAATTAAAAATAATTGCCACAATACGAAATGTAGACTTTCAAATTATAGTTAATAACACCCTATAAATAAAATTGTGGACAAATTTTAATTGCATTTATTATGTAATTTATTTCATGCACGCAAAAAACCTTTATACTTATTTGAAAGAGGGTTTTATAATCTATCTAAATTTAATTTAATTAAGTTAAAAATATTATTTAAATATCGAAAATAAAATGGTCTAAGTAAAGGACCACGAAAAAATGATGGAAATTTTTTTCCAAAAAAATCGAGAAAAAGGTAAAGCGTTTGTTGCTAAGCAGTTTATGGAATGGGGTTTAGATCAACTGCTTACTATAAAATCGTAAAATTAGAGAATGGATCTCTAAAAAGAAAAGTTGGAAGTAATCGAATTGCTAAGGTAGCTACTAAAAAAAATATCTTAAAGACTGCTGCATTTTTTGAAAATAAGTCATGGTGCTCCCAAAGAAAAAGTAGCTCAAGTTTTTAACTGTAGTCAAACTCAAATTTCCCAAGTATTAAAAAAAATGACTAACATTCGAACTTTAAAAAAAACAAATTGTCCAGATCGTAGCCATCAGCAGAAGAAAGCTATGCGTCCTAAATGTCGTAAATTGAACAAAAATTATAAAAACTTGGATTTTGTTATGGATGATGAAAGCTATTTTACTTTAAACAAGAACACATTAGCCGGTAATGATAGGTTTTATGCTGCTGATCCTTCAAAATGTTCTGATGAAGTAAGATACAATTTGTGTAAAAAGTACGACGACAAGCTCTTAGTTTCTTGTTGCATCAGTATTCGTGGAATAAGCCCTCTTTATATTTATCACAGTAAGCAGGCAATCAACCAGTACACTTATAAAGAGATACTAGAAAAAACTTTACTTCCACTAGTATCAGAATATTATAAAAAAGACAATGAGTTTATCTTCTGGCCTGATCTAGCTCGATCACATTACGCAAAGTCAGTCATGGATTTTTTAAAATTGAAAAAAATCAAAGTTGTACCCAAAGATATAAACCCAGCTAATGTTCCAAAAGCAAGACCAATTGAAAACTTTTGGGCCGATTTAAAATGGCTAGTGTACAAGAATAATTGGAGAGCTGAGATTTTGGAAGAGCTTGAAGTAAGAATTAGATATTGCTATTCAAAGATGAATAAAGAAATTTTCCTAACTCAAATAAAACATCTTTCAAAAAAACTTTATAATATTGCTAAATATGGTATTTCAAATAATTATTTTAATATACTTATAAACTACATATACTAACATATTAACAGTTAAAATATTAAATAATAAAACTTTTTAGTTCTTAAAATATTAATTTTTAAATTTTGTCCAAAATTTTATTTATGAGGTGTTATTTCTGAAGCTCATAATGCAACTTCCACCAAGGGCTGTTGTAACATTGGAGCCTGTCGTGACTTGCTGTGTTGGCAATGTGGTTGTTGAAAAAGTTGAAACAAGCTAAAATGTTGCTGTATTTGATCAAGAGTCTAGTAATTGAGAGATTACTAAAATCTTGATCAAAAATTAATGCTGTGATGAGATCAAGAGTGTTGTAATTGGAAGATTAGCAGGTTTGAACACTGGAACAATGATAATTTAGTAAAGATTAAGGTCTTGAAATACAATATGATTTATAACAGAGTATGATTTGAATTGAGGAGACAACAAAATTAGACCAACCAAAAAATCACCAGAAATAATGACAGCATTATAGTTTTTGGTCAATGTTTTTGTGTGAAAAAAATCTTTTTAACCCAAGATGGAAGTCTATACATATAGCCTAAAAGCAGAAATAAGAAAAAAAAAAAAAGAAAAAAAAAGTATGTTCTATCCTTGTCTTGAAATTTTTTTGCATTTTCATCATACTTGTCATCTAGTGTGAAGATGATAAACATAAAAAAAAGAGCATTAAAGAAGTCTCTCTAACCACTGATCTACAAGTAACTACTGACCCACTGCAGTATTAATACTTAACTAAAACAGAAGATAAATTGGTTTAAAAAAAAAGAGCCCACCAAAATTCTGTTAAAGCAATTTATTTACAAGTAATTTACTTATTTAATTTGAGCTCCTTTACTCTTCCATTAATCACTTTTCATCAGAGTTTTAGAAAACTTTGAAAAAAATTTTATTTAACTTCGAAATTACCTTTAAATAAATTAATTGAAGTACAGATAAACAATTCTTTTTTGTATTATTTAATAAGTTTTTTTTCATATTAGATTTTTCTTTTAAAAACTTGTCAAACTGTTTTTTCTCAATTTTCCCATGATCTTTCTTCTTTCCATTTTTTGAAGGGAAAAATAACTATTTGTAGGTTTTATCTTTGGGAGGATACTTAACATAGAAGAAAGGTGGGATACTTGATTCCAATGCAAACCTTCCAGGAAGATTGGAATCAAAACGTGTATGAACTAGGCATGCAGCCGCATGCCTAGTTCATTCTTGTTTAAGGTAATTTTTTTAGACACACTGACCACGGCAGTTCGCATCTTTTAACTTTTAAAGCATTTCAATACCTCGTGGCAAAAAGCTAAACTTATTTACTGAGAAAAAAAAAGTCCAAAAAAAGGAAAACAAAATTGTAAAAAAAATTTTTAAATCTAATTTTTATAAAACAAACTAGAAAAAATAATTTGAAAAAAGAAAATTAAAAAAAAATATTTTTATTTTTATACAACCTTTGTATTTTTTTTTAGGGTAAAATTTTTTTTTTGTTAAATATTTTGATTGATAAATTTTGTCAAGACAGAAGAAACTAAATAAAATAATAATATTTCAAAAAGAAAATAAAAACAGTAAAATATTTAGGTATATTGTTTTTTTGACAAAATTTTTCTTTGTTTAATTTTTTTTTAAGCTTATTTTATTTAGACTTTCTATTTCGTATTCGGTTCCTTACTTCAAGTATTGCTGTTTTGCTCTCTATTGTTTGTTTGTTTTCCCACAAATTCTTAAAACGCTTAATATATAAAAATGCGGTTAAGTTGTCTAAAAAAATTACTTTAAACATGGGCAAACAAGGTGTGACTGCACATGCTTACTTGAATGGCTTACAATGTAAATTTGGGGACTAGTGATATTTTATCACTGTTCTGTTGGCACCTTTAGGTAGTATCCTTATTGGTTTTTTTTTTGTTTCTTTGTTTTTTTGTTTTTTACATCAGAAAACGCCTTACAACTTAATAAAAATTATTTTATTTTGTGACATTAAAACTTCATTTTAAGCGTTCAAAGTAAGTGAAAACAACTTCCGCTCATTTAGTTTATGATTATACAGCTTAAATAAGTTTTTTACCCAATTAACACTATAACATTGATGTTCAAATTTTAACTCCTCTTAAATAAGTTTAACTTTACCCAATTAACACCATAACATTGATGTTCAAATTTTAACTCCTCTTAAATAAGTTTAACTCTACCCAATTAACACAATAACATTGATGTTCAAATTTTAACTCCTCTTAAATAAGTTTAACTCTACCCAATTAACACAATAACATTGATGTTCAAATTTTAACTCCTCTTAAATAAGTTTAACTCTACCCAATTAACACAATAACATTGATGTTCAAATTTTAACTCCTCTTAAATAAGTTTAACTTTACCCAATTAACACCATAACATTGATGTTCAAATTTTAACTCCTCTTAAATAAGTTTAACTTTACCCAATTAACACCATAACATTGATGTTCAAATTTTAACTCCTCTTAAATAAGTTTAACTTTACCCAATTAACACTATAACATTGATGTTGAAATTTTAACTCCTCTTAAATAAGTTTAACTTTACCCAATTAACACCATAACATTGATGTTCAAATTTTAACTCCTCTTGAATAAGTTTAACTTTACCCAATTAACACCATAACATTGATGTTCAAATTTTAACTCCTCTTAAATAAGTTTAACTTTACCCAATTAACACAATAACATTGATATTCAAGTTTTAACTCCTCTTAAATAAGTTTAACTTTACCCAATTAACACTATAACATTGATGTTCAAATTTTAACTCCTCTTGAATAAGTTTAACTTTACCCAATTAATACCATAACATTGATGTTCAAATTTTAACTCCTCTTAAATAAGTTTATCTTTACCCAATTAACACCATAACATTGATGTTCAAATTTTAACTCCTCTTAAATAAGTTTAACTTTACCCAATTAACACAATAACATTGATGTTCAAATTTTAACTCCTCTTAAATAAGTTTAACTTTACCCAATTAACACAATAACATTGATATTCAAGTTTTAACTCCTCTTAAATAAGTTTAACTTTACCCAATTAACACAATAACATTGATATTCAAGTTTTAACTCCTCTTAAATAAGTTTAACTTTACCCAATTAACACCATAACATTGATATTCAAATTTTAACTCCTCTAGCCTAAAACTTAAACCTTTCAAAAAAATGTCAACTTAGGGATAGTTAATCCTTTAAAAGGGGGGACATTCTTGATCCTAGAATAGGGTATCCCAGGTTCAGTTTAAAATCTAGTAATGAATTTTACCATGCACATGTGGTTTTCTCGTTTGCATGCCTGGAAAAGGTGTTTTGCATCTATATTGCATATTTCTATATTATAGACTTTCTATTAAAGACTTGAAATTTCAGGGTTTGATGCAGTTTTAAAGTAAAGTACTTTTTGGAATTAAGATAAAAAAAATTTAAACATTTATACCCATCTAACAAATAAAATTTTTTGTTTTTTAACACAATTTTTTTTTATCTTATTCAATTTTTTTCTAAATAAATAAAAAAATAAATAGGGTGAGAGTTTCTCGTTAGCTTTTAGTCAACCCTGAAACTTTTTACTCAAACATCAGATGTCTGTTAAACATTTATTTTTACATTTCATTTTATTGTTTTAATAACTTAGATTATTTTTATTGGTGGAATGCTTTATTTATTTGGGATCAAGTATCCACATATAAACAGTGATACTTGATCTCTGCAAGTGGGCAACAAAAACTGATATAGTTTATTTATTCTGCATGAAATAACTTTTTCATGAACAGCCTGCAGAAAGAGATGAACCACATTAGAAAATTATTTAAAAAAAAGAAAGAAAATTTATTACTATCTGAAAAAATCTACAAAAACTAAAAGAGAGATCAACTATCCCACCTTTATCCTGCTTAAAAACTCATTAATAGTTTTTTTAAATATAAAACTTACCTTTCCACACTGTTTATAGCATCCCCTGTACACCATCCTCCAACTGCAAACAAAAATTCTCGTTTGTTTTGTCGTCTACTCTTAAACCGAGGACCATGCATGACCGCCCGCTGTTCTGGCAACAACAAATAATTTTTGGCTTCATCTACTAATTCTCTACAACCTGCATCGTTTTTTATTAACATATCAGTGCTGACAACACTAACTAAAAACTTAGCATTTAGTATTGGTAAACGCACATGCTGTAGTACATCTTTTAATTTACTTCTTCGATCAATTAAGTCAAAATGGACCCATTTTAGTACAGCTCTAAATACATCTTCTTCTGATATTACATTAAGTTCATCACTTTGAATAATATCACAAACCTGCTCAACATTTAATAATAAAAACTCTTCATTAAGGATTACATCCTGAAAGTTCCGCAATGTATACATATGTGCAATATGAAACAGGTCTCTACATGAATGAGTATCAGCAAATAACTTAATTCCTATGCAGTTAGTAGGATCAAGTTGCTTTTTTAAAAACTCACAACATGCTTCTTGTATCTCTGTAATTTGAAGTAAACATGCTGCTGGCAAAACAATTTGAACATTAGCTTCATCAATTTTTATATTACCAGTGTATGCAAAATCAATTAATAGCTCCATGGCTTTTTCATCTATATCCTGAATTAGGACTTCTTCTTGTCGCTGTTCGGCCATTTCTCTAGTAAACATTGCACGAAAATAGGAAGAACAAGCTGCTAAAACAACTTTATGAGCGCGAAATCTCCTTGAACCAACTCGAATATCAATATCACATAACTCGTTACACTTCAGTAGATTATCTAGCATTGTAAGTAGAGATTTTGGGTAAGTTTGAGAAGAATAAAAAAAATATGGTTTCATAAAAGTAGATTGAGATAATCGAAGGGGTATAGAAAATGAGGATCTAAATGCATTCTGCTTTCCATCATAAATCACTTCTGGTTGATGAGTTACTACAGATTCAAAAGACTCATTAAAACCAAACTGCATTTGAAATTGATTTTCATTTTCATAAACACAGCCAGATAAACTCATCTGATTTTCATTACCATCATAAACACAGCCAGATAAACTCATCTGATTAAATAAATAAAATTTAATTAATACTTTTAGCAGTCTATTACGAAATTGTCAATTCAAAATTTTTAACACAAAAGCTATAACTTAAAAAACACTGCTTAATTATTAAAACTTACAAGTAGTTTGTGATTTTAATATTGATAAATGTTTCATGTGTTTATTCTTTTAGTATTTTTTATTTTGTAAATTTTTTTAATCATTTTCCTAAAGTTTCCCATGCTGTTTTATGTTGCTTCACAAATTTTATTCACTTTTTGAAAATGATGTATAAATAAAAGAAAGAGATTCTCTAGAAAAATATTATACAATGAATAAAGCTTAATGTTATTCTTATAGTAAAATAAGGTCAATAAACATTTTTTGAAAAGAAATAGATTTACGGTTGGCATTTTGTAACTTTAAAAAATGAATGAGAAAAAAGTATAACTGCAACTAAACAAAAAGATTTTATGTTTTTTGTATTTCTTTAATAAAAAATAAAAAGTAGGAACTATCATTGTCATGCTTAATATGTCAATACCATTTTCAGTACTAGGATGTACAAGGATATATCATTCACAGTAAAAGTATGAGACTTAATTGAATGACGAGTAACACGAGAATGAATTTTAGATAATGGCACAAGAATATACTGTTTTAGAGCAGCACCCATTATAATATTTATAGAAAAGAGAAAGAGAAGCAACATTGCGACAATGTGACAATGATTAAAGGTAGGCTGCAAGAGTAGATTCAACATTACAATGCATTTTTGCACCTTGTATAAAAGAGAAAGGGCATCATTCGAAGATCCGCTTCAGATATGGCAACAGTACACTTTTAAAAATATTAACTATTTTTGTTTACATACGTGGTTGAACAACTTAAACTTTAAAAGATCCTAACGCCGATGAAATTTCTATACAAAAATGTCCAGTCTTGCAGCGCACTGCAGCGACTTGTGCGAGTATATAAACAAAAATGGTTAATATTTTTAACAGTGTATTATATAAAAAGAAAGGATTTGAGATTAATAGAAATAAAGAATAGAACCCAGAGTAAGAAAGTGGTGAGCACGATTAAGAGATACAACCTTAGCAGATGCTTATTTTGCAATCAATTTGATATATGGTTTCTAAAAAAGATGGGAAGTAAGAGTTAATTCTAGACAATGGGTAGATGTTAATTCTAGACAATGAGTTAATTCTAGACAATGTAGATATTTCTGTATTTATGAACAGTAAGGTACTCATCGAGTACCTTACTGTTCATAAATACAGAAATATCTACACTGTTGTGATAATGATTAGCCAAAAAAAATTGAATTTTAAGTTAAAGTTCACCAGCCACTGAGAGCGCCATGCTGTTGCAGAAGTGAGATCCTATTTAAGTTCAAATCCTCCAAGCAATTAGAGAACGTTGGCTTCTTATCAAGACAAGAATAATTGGTAGTATCAAAAGCAAACAATGCTACCTTAGATGCGAGAATTTCTGGGAGATTTGTAATGTAAATTTCAAAAAGTATAGGGCAAACAATAAAACCTTGAAGAACCCCTGAAGTTACAGGAAATGAAGAAGAGTGACATCCATCGAGGACAACTTTTATACTGCGATTGCTAAGGAAGGATTTAATGATCTTAAAGATGCTAACTAACATACCGCAAGAAGAGAGGTTATGGGGAAGACCAGAATGCCAAACTTTATCAAATGCTTTAGAAATATTGAGAGCAATAGCATTAGCTTCTTCACATCTATCTAATGCAAGATAAAACCTATCATTTATTACTGTTAACAAATTAGCAGTAGAACAAGAAGATCAAAATCCATATAGATGATTAGAAAATAAGTTATTAAATTCAAGATGAAAGACTATGTGTTTGTTAATCAAAGACTCGAAAACCTTGCTTATGATAGGAAGAAGACTAATAGGACGGTAGTTAGACGAGTCAGAAGTCTCTCCAAAATTTTTGAAAATAAGGCTAACAAATATTGCTTTCCAGCAGACTGTAAAAACAAGACTCTGATAAGCACTTGTTAAATAGTGAAAGTTGTCGTCTATACTTTTAAAGTATAGAGCTGTTGTCTATACTTTGAAAGTATAGACAACAGCTCCAGAGAACACTTCTGCAAGGCTATAACAGGTATGTTGTCCGAACCACAAACTGCAGAAAAGTCTAAGTAGGAAACCACTTTAGATACAGACGCTGGATTGATACGAATGTCAAGCAATGAATCAACCTGTTTGTCAGCTATATTAGGTAGGATATGATTAGTGGAACCAAAAGATGAGATTGATGAAAAGTTCCCAGAAAACAATTCAGCTTTGTCTTCAGGTGAGGTAACAAAATCTGAACCATGCAAGAGAGGCGGAATAACAGATTTTCCCTTAATATAGACACTTTTAAAGATTCCCCATAAGTCTTTGGAGCCTAATTATTGAGATAAAATACAAGATTTTGTGACCTGACAGACTGTCAAGCAACAACTTTATAAAAAAATGAAAAAAAATAATGGTATTTTGAGAAGAAAAATGGCAAAAAATGACAAATTTCAGTAAAAAAATTAAGAAATATTTTTAAAAACAAAATAAATCAGAAGTCATCAAAAATGTCTAAAATAATATAAAATAAATTAACAGAATTAATATAAAATAAATTAAAAAAAAAAAAATTAAAACAGAAATAATATAAAATAAAGAGAAAACACCAAATAACTTATAACACCAAATAAGATTCAAAATAATTAAACAAGAAGTTCACAACAACTTTTTTTTACAATACTACTTTTTTTTAATGATTAGTTAAACTATCCATTTCATTTTTGATCTGTTGACCATTTCATGGGCAACTTTTATACCTATCATGTCTTCTTTATTGATGGTACTTTGCATAGACTTGGTCGCTTCATCTAGCATTTTCTAAGCAAGTTGAAACTCTAGATCTGCATTTTTCTTATCATTTTTAAGATTTTTTCCCCTTTGATCTAGGTTATTGATGTTGTATTTTTTAACTTTTTCAAGGATTTCTTTGTGTTGCTTTTTTTTATCAATAAGTTCTTGCTTATAAAATCATATGTTAATTTTTCTTCTTCATCCTCAGCTTTTCATTTTTTATATATTCTGTGACCATTTTGCACTGATTGAACAACGTCTTTAAAGAGAGCATCAACATTATATGCTTGATTGCAACTTCTTGCATTTGATATTCTCAGAGCCATTAACGTTTCATCATTTAGTTTTACTCGCTCTGAAGTCAATTTATTTTTATTATCTGATAAACTTCGCTCTATACGAGCGTTTCCATTCTGAATAGTTAAACGGCTCTTAATAACTTTACTGAGATATAGATACTTAGTTTTTCCATATTCATTGTCGCTTTTAAAAACTTTAGTCCAGTAATAACCAATTCTTTTTAAGTTTTTTGTATCAGAATCTGAATACCAGTCTTTTGAGATATTAGCTGCTTGATATAATTTCCATTTATCTTTCACAAATGGTACCAATACAAAAATGAAGATAAAATTCTTATGAAAAAATAAATATTTAAATCTAAAGGAAAACTAAATTAACTAACTTCATTACAAAAATATTACTTAAGAAACTGTATTCATAAACAGAACATGTATTAAATAAAGATTAAACTTTTAAAAAACATTAAAAAAAAAAAAAAACTGCAATTAAATTAAATAAAGCATTTTTTTGACATCTTCTGCTATTGCTCTACCAAAGAAATAGGATTTTAAATATTTTTAACAACTTGATTCTTTTCTTCTGACCAAAACGACATAGAAGATCCATTTGTTTTGTTTGCTGTGCTCTATTTGTTTCATCAAATAATAAAGTAAAAGCACTCTGACTTATTGATAGAGCTGTTTTTGAAAACCTAATATCAGAAACTAATTTATGTTTAGATTTTTTAGAATGCTGATAAAGTGTTTGAAAACCAACTAAACTGTTTCAAATCAACTAAAACATATTTTACTGACTGCATAATCAGAGTTTTTTTTCTCAGCATAGAGTTTAATTTTAACTTGATTTTTATCAAGCTTTTTCAGCCAAACCTCATCCCATTTAACCATTATGGCTTTGACCTATCTATTGATTAATATAGACCCATCTATTCATATACTTAAAACTAAAAATAGATACTATTAACTTTACAAATACTGAAAATTTTATTCAGAATTTAGTTCTCAATTCAGTTTATCAACCAATAAAAATAACAAAAATAATTTAACAATTCAAAAAATTACAATATTTAAATAAAACTTAAAAAAAAAATATTGTAACTTAAAAAAAATATAAGAGAATATTTATTGTAAAATTTATTCAAATAATCAAAAATAACTCAAATTACAAAAAATTAACTTAAAGTAAAATAAACCTTAACTCAATCGAAACACTTAAAAAAAATTTTATAAAAAAAATAAAATAAAAATGAAAAAATGACAAAAACTCACAACAAAAAAATGAAAAAAAATTAATTAATAAAAAAGACCTGGAATAAAATGAAAAAAAAAATTTTTTTTTGAATGGTTTCTAGCAATAGTAAAGAGACCTTTATTTTCTGGAGAATTATTATGGTAATAGATATGGAACAAATGGTTACAATTGAAAATGGCAGCAGCACAATCAAAAACCATGAGAAGAGTGAGGCTTGACTTGGAATCATTGAGAGTGAATAAAAGATTCCATGCCAGCCTAAATCCAAGAAAGATTTCAACCCAAAGGCCATTTTGATGTAAAGAAGAACAAGATAATACTTTTAGAGAGATCAAACTATGTCAGAAGTACCTAAGGGTGAATGTGGAGAAACTGAGCACTAATTTAGAAATAAGGCATAAGTTGAGTAGAGAAGGTAAATGATTTGGATCAATTTGGTCAATTTGATCAGAAATAACATCAAAAAGACTGCTGTCTTGAGATGAAGGGAGCAATATATAACAAAGAGAAAGGTGATAAAGTAAAGTAGCGGTGCTAAATGAAAACCCATAAAAGAATAGTCTGTGGATTCAAACCTTGTTTCCTGACAAATGGGTAAATTTTTACAAATGTAAATGCTTACACTAAGCATATGACTATTGGAATTTTTATAAATTAACCATCAACACCAAGAAAGATAACCATCAACACCAAGATCACAAGGTAAAACAGCTGAACTCAAACTAGTCTCACAAAGAGTTAGTAATTCTGGTAAACTTTGCAATAAATAAGATCCAACAGAAGAAAAGTTACTTCTAAGACTACAAATATTAGCAAATGGTAGATTTACAGAACTTGGTCATGATGATTTTTATTTGTTTTATAGTTTTTGATCCTTTAGCCTGCGCAAACCAAAACCCGCAGTTGATGTTGCAGCACTATTTGCATGCTCTACCTATTTGTCAGTCAATGCATCAGCACTTCTCACATGTCTACCTATGTGTCAGTCAATGTAGCAATGCTCCTCGTATGTTTTACCTATTTATCAGTCAATGTATATAAACAGTAAAAAAATAAAAACAAAAACATTCTCAATGTTTTTTTTTTTATTATTATAAAAAATTAAATAACATTTCAGTTTTTATGTTTTGTTTATTGTTATGTTTTGTGGTTTTTTAAAAAATAATAAAATTTAATTGGTTTTCTTAACTAAATTTGATAGTTTTTTACACATATAGTGTACTTAACTTTGTCACCTTTTAAACACAGAGTCGTTTATAGTTGTTTTTAAACACAAACAGATAAAAATATAAAAATATTTTAATATTAAAGATAAAAATATTCAAATATTATTAACATTTAATATTATTTAAGAATTGGTAATATTACTAAAGTTACAAGTGTCATGTGAATTTGTAACAATTTTATGTGAATCTATATCAGAAAAATATCAATCTAAAAAAGTCTGAACATTATCAATACAATTATTGATACAAATTGTATTGACACGGGGATAAATTAGTACAGTGTACTGATTGTAAATGTTTTATAAAAGTATTTTTGATTGTATTAAAAATTTATTTTAATACAATCAAAATATTTATAAAACATAAACAATAGTAGAGATACATAACATGGCAAATCTAAAAATTTCTATTATGTATCTGAAAATTTTATCCTACATATAATTAGAGTAACGATTGAGAGTAAATAGCTGATTTAGACTGTATAAATTTGATTTATATTTATTACATTTGTAATATAATTCATTATATTACTGATATAATAAACGTTATTAAATTTATCGTATTATTATTCTCTATAATTATTTATACTTTTTTATTATGTATATTTTATTATTATTTATATTTATAATACTTACAATTTCAAGTATATTTTTCTTTAAAAAAATTTTCAGTCATAAAATTATCAAACAAAACAAACGGAGCTTTTTTCCGCGGACCGCACGAATGTATGTTTTGATTTTTGAAGTAAAAGATTTTTGAAGTTTAGCTGGACCATGAACGTAAAATAATTATCTTATTTTATACAATTTAGATAATCGAAGCATAGACGTCCAAGCATAGACGTAAATTTACGTCTATGCTTGGACACAATAAATGAGGAGCCCGTCTGCAAAACGCGAAGTCGCAAAAATAATATTTTGAGTTAATAAAAAACATAGAAGTTGTTTTGTTAAACTTTGTTTTACCCATTTACACATTCTATATACTGTAATTTATCATCTATTTATATATAAGACCAATTGAAAACTTTTTTGTCCTAAAAATAGAAGAAGAAAATATAAATTTTAGTTGATGCACAACTATGAGTAGTTAAGTTTTTCGCCATTTTTTATTTTAATATCAATTTACGTTGTAAGCTTTGCAAATGAGCCCCTCAAATATCAACAATTATCGAACCTACGACTATCGACAGCGACAATCGAATAAATATAAACATTTGTCAATTCAACTAAACATTGCCTTTTATATTTATATTCTTTTCTTTCACTTGATATGAACTGGTATTGTGGTTTATCCTCCTCCGGCTAATTGCCATATAGAGGCCACATTACGAAGGCCCGCAAAGACTAGTTCAAAGGAGCGTCCAATAAAGTGAGTTTAGAAAGAACGAAGGTATTTTAGAGTGAAAAAAAGAAGTATTCGAGTTAGAAAGATAGCATAGAGAAAGCGGACAGGATTGTACACGATGTTAGAAAGTGAAATACGTACTGTTAGTTAGGTCACCTAACTACTGCACGCCAACAAAGACTTGATTGAGGTTCACTTGATATGAAATTGTATTGTGGTTTATCCCCCTCCGGCTAGTTACTACACAGAGGCCACATTACCAAGGCCCACAAAGACAAGTTTAATGATGATTATTTGACATTAGGAGTTTTTATTGGTCTGTCTAAAGCCTTTGACACCGTCAGCCATGTCATTCTTCTTAAAAAACTTGAACATTATGGAATAAAAAACATTATTTTCACTTTATATAAATGGTTTATCTTTTACATCAAACTTATTAAATTTTATTTTATTTGCGGATGACTCTAATATGTTTTATTCACATAGGGATATTAAAACGCTTTTTAAAGTAGTTAATGAAGAGTTAAACAAAATAAACGAATAGTTAATATGTAATAAACTATCGCTTAACGTTACAAAAACTAAGTATATACTATTTCATAAACAAAATAAAACAGATAATCTTCCTCTGAAATTACCTGAAAAAATTATCTGAAAATAAATAAAATTAATATTACTAGACAAACTTCTGTAAACTTCTTAGGTGTTAATTTAGATGAAAATTTATCTTGGAAGACTCATATAAGCTCTCTGGAAAGAAAACTTTCAAGAAATATTGCAATTATGTGTAAAGCAAAACCATTTTTAAAAAATAGGTCTTTAAAAAATTTATATATTTTTTTTATACATAGCTATTTAACTTACTAAATATTGTATGGGTAAGCTCCAATTACACAAAGTTGAAAAAAATTTGTTCAAAATAAAAACATGCTTGCAGAATTGTATTTGGAGCAACAAAAAATGTGCCTTGCAAGCCACTTCTATGTAGGCTTGGATCATTAAACGTGTTAAAAATTAATATATATCTACTCTTACGATTTATGTATAAAATAAAGTACTAACTGTCTCCAACTATATTTAATCAATATTTTAGTGAAATAAGCCACAAATACCCCACCAGATTCTCCAAATTCAATTTTGTAATTCCAAAATATAATTTAAAGTTATTTTTCCGCAACTCAAAGCTAATTTAAAATATAATTTAGTAAACACGGATTTTAATATTTTAAATATTGGCAGGCTTTTTTAGAAGTTATCAAACTAAATTTATAACGATACATTAACTTTATCAACTTTAACATGTTAACTACTAAAAAACTAAAAATAAGAAGAAATTCAACTATTGTATTATTAAGAATATCAGTGTCTTTAACACACTTTTTTGAAAAATATTTATTTTAAATGTTATATTTATTGAAAATATATATATTTTTTATTTACTTTAAAGTTGCAGTATCTATTTGTAAATTATTATACATATATTTTGTTTTTGAAACTTTTATATATTTTATGTTGCTGTGAATAGAATTTTATTCATTTTATTATGAAAATGACAATACGAAGCAATATACATATTTTATTTTTTAAGTTGATTAAGGTGCCCCAAGAAGTCCTTACGGTCTTATCACAAAGCGCCGCGGAAGAGCATTTAATAGGAGGTTCACGCCTCATTCCCAACCGATGTCGCAAAACTCGCCCACAGGTGTAGTTTGAATCACAGATCTTACGTTTCTGAGGCAAGTGCGCTACCACTGCGCCACGGTTGCTTATATGTATGTGTATGTATATACACGTATATATTTATACATTTTATTTCTTTCTTAACTAACTTTAGTTTTAATTTTTTTGTACCTTTTTGTTTCTTAACTTCTTATAATATGTGTATATTTTAATATTTTACGGACATGTTAAATTCATTTGTAATGGGGCTTGGTGATAAAGCTTATTATGCCTTCTTCTTGCTCCAGCCATTTCCTTTTGTTATATTTGTGCATTGTATATATTCTTAACGGCGAAAAAAACGAAACTACTACTCTGCCACAAGTCCGGTTCCCCATGGAGCGTCATAACCCGCATTTTTTTTTTTTAAATTTTGTTTAATACCAATATATCGTAACTCTTTGTAAAGACTAAAAGGTAGAAAATAAAATATAGCAAAAACATTTGCTCAAAATATAATATTTCCCGCGGTGCTCTATAATAAGACCGTAAGGACTTCTGGGATCACCTAAATACATACAAAAAAAAAAAAAAAAAAAAAAAAAAAACAATGTGACTTTTTTTAATGAACTTAATTTGTTTTAAAAAGGGAAAAAAAAATTTTCCCCTTTTTTATTTAGGGGGCAGGCAGTTATCAAATATTGACGTGATTTATAGGGGGATGGAGGTCTCTGAAAGTTTGAAAAATTGTTGAAAAGAATGGGAGGAAAATTGCCAAAAGATTTGTTGACATAATTAATGGATAGCCCTTATATATATTATATACTCTGTATATTATAGTAGTAGCAGTAGTTCCCTTATATATATATATATATATATATATATATATATATATATATATATATATATATATATATATATATATATATATATATATATATATATATATATATATATATATATATATATACATATATTAAATATTCTGTATATTTGGTGCTGTGCAAGCCACATAGACTAACCTACAAATTTTGAATTAGTTTTTTATGATTAAATCTTAATCAATGTTTAATGTCTCACACTATAAACTAAAAGACGGAACCAAAATTTAATTATCAGTCTGAAAATAGCATGGTATAGCTTTCATGACTCAGCAGCAGAAGTGGACCATCTTTCATAGAAGTGGACCATTTTTCATTGAAGTGGACCATTTTTCATAGAAGTGGACCATCTTTCATAGAAGTGGACCATCTTTCGTAGAAGTGGACCATTTTTCATAGAAGTGGACCATCTTTCATAGAAGTGGACCATCTTTCATAGAAGTGAACCATTTTTCATAGAAGTGGACCATCTTTCATAGAAGTGGACCATCTTTCATAGAAGTGGACCATCTTTCATAGAAGTGGACCATCTTTCATAGAAGTGGACCATCTTTCATAGAAGTGGACCATCTTTCATAGAAGTGGACCATCTTTCATAGTCCAAAACGATAACAGTTCTGATCTGCAGCCACGCGGTCTGCACAACATTATTATTTTTTTTTTATGTTGATTTTAGGTACCCAAAGAAGTCCTTATGGTCTTATCACAGAGTACAGCGGAAGAGCATTTAATAGGAAGTTCACGCCTCTTTCCCAACCGATGTCGCAAAACATGCCCAGAGGCGGGATTTGAACCACGGATCTTACGTTTCTGAGGCAACGTTTATTGTTCAATTATTGTTCAATAAAAAATATACAATAGCTACCTCTACATCTCATTGTAAAGGTTTTAAGAATAAATAATAAAGTTGTTCATAAAAAGCTGTAACCTTAACAGTTTACTCTAAATGGATTTAGAGTTTACTCTAAATGCAATATAGTTGTTATTAATGCAAACCATTGTTTTAGAATTTTAACATATGAGATTGTTGCCATACATTTAATGATACAGAAGTTGTTTTGTTAAACTTATAGCAAAAGCTGATAGTTTTTGACTTCCCTACAAATATCATAATTTTTCCCTAATTTACAATATGGAAAATATTTTGATACAAGTATCATAATTTTTCCCATTTTGCATATTATAATATTCTCGTAATTTTCCCCATACTATATAGTATAATATGGGGAAATTTTTTTTTTTTTTTAACACGTTGAGCTAAAATATATGTGCTGCCCAATGATATACTATATAACTAGATGTCTAACTTGCGGGATTTTATTGGACAAAAAGTAAAGCCGCTTTTTTTTTGTTTATAACAAGTCCGCTATTTGTAAAAAGGGCAAAAGCTCAAGCCGAATTGTACAATAAAAAATAAAAAGCAAATCAAAAGTTTCCAATAAATTAAAGATATTTCAAAAACGCGCTTTAACAATCAGTGGCGCAGTGCTGATTTGTGATATGGGTGTGGCCATTTTCAAACCAAAATCAAACAGTAATTATGGGCACATGTCATTATATTTATGGAATGCCAATATATAGTGTGTGGTACACTTGTTCATAAACACAAAATGTCAAGACTTTGCAAAAATGGCACTATGGTTATCCTTAAACAGAAACTCTTTACAAACATCCACAAGATCCAGCTCATTGGCAATTTTCCAATGAATGTTAAGAATAGCTAGACGTAATATTACGGATTGGACATTGAGAAACCAATTTTAGTTTGCGTAATATTACGGCATGGACTGCATGGATTTTTAAACATTGATAAAAGTAGGGTGTGGCCCAATTATATCAGCCACATCCACATCAAATATTAGGTGTGGCTGGCCACACC